CCGCACTGGTTCCCCACACCACTCAGATCACTCCCCCACTGCCTAGACTGGCCTATGCCATCCCACTCAGTTGCCCCCCACTGCCCCCACACTGTCTTCCTGCTGCCCTGCACTGCTCAAATTGCTCCTCCCACCCCTCATGCGGCTCTGCCCCCATACTCCACAGGACTCTTCTCTGACTCCCTGCTCTACCTTTTTTGTTTTCCTAATTTCCACTGATTTACATTCTCACTGATATGCTGTCAACCTTTTAACTTCTTTCATTCCTTGGAGTCTGAGAACAGCAGCCTCCCTATGCCTGAAGAAAGGTGATGGCGCTGGAAAGCTTTGAAAAAACATTTTTCCAACTACTCAGTTGCTCTAATAAATGATGCACATCTACCCAAAGAACCTTGCCAGAACTCTTTAATATTACTTCTGTGAGTATTGTGGAAGAATGTTTATCTGAAGGTTTTGGGGACAGGGACAGAAAAATCCATGCAGAAAAGGGTGCAGAGTAAGACTCTTTTCTACCTACATGAATAATCAAACAGTGCCTTGGAATGCAAGTCTTGTTGTTCAGGATAATTTAACTAATAGGGGAAGAGGCTGGGTGAGTTAGGATTATTTTCTGAAAGCATTGAGTTATTAACCTCAATGGTGGGTGATTCAAAGACTTTGGGACAAGTTATAAGCAAACAAATTTGGAGTGACTGGGGAAGGGGGACAAATTCAAATACCTTTTAATAACAACAGGCCTTGTTCTCACTAGTGAACTAAATAGTTGTAATTCAACCTCATTGCTTCCTTTTTGGGGGTTGTTAAGAAAAGCAGCCACTGGTAGCAAAGGTGCGATTAACTCTGGCTACAGAATTTTCTGGTCACGTCTGCACTGCTGCTTCCATCATTGCTGCCGGTTTTTAGTGTGGGGTTAACCCAGGCCACCTGGGGCACCAGCTTTGTTTAGAGGCAGTAGCAGACACATCTCTGAATGTTTTTGGTTTAGCTACCGAAGGGGAACATTGTGTCTCATTTTTGTGGGTTCCATACACATTCTGCATCTGGACTGGCATCTTTAGCACAATATCTTTGTAAGGCTAATTTTAAGCTCTTTCAAGTCTAATTTTGAGATGCAAAGATTATCCTTGGTTTTTCTTATTTACTCTGCTTTTTATGGTTTGTTACACAGCTGATGCTTTTAGTTATGCATAAATGATTCCTCTGTCACTTTGCCCTGTCTTCTATTTTGATGTTAATCATTCAGTATTGTGCATCATCTTCTGTTGGAAGGGTTTTCAAACATTTTATGTTTTTCAGGCTGAGTTTAACAAGAAGAGCACTTTTTACCTCTTTAACCATGTTGACATTACCATCATGTACCATA